CTTCTTGCGGTCACAATCATTTATCAATATTTTGAGACCTTCGAGAAGGAGAAGGCTAGTGAGCTTGGCTTCTTAGGATTGTGAGCTTAGGTTTTGACTTAAGGAATACTAGCATATATACCTTGCAACATAATTTTGTTGTATGGTTAGATGCACAAATGATGAGAACACTTGTTATGTGCCTTTAGTTACTTGAGGAGAGCCTTTAAAATTTTGCCTTAGATCGTGCATTAATTTCACATTGATTTATTTATGAAATCCAAGGCTAATTTTCTTTACTTTGTATTGTTATTGCATTAATTTCAGAGGTAGTTCAAAGATAATAGTAAAACTACAGACGTCTGCAATAATAAATTAGCAACTTTCTTGGCTAAAAAAACAAAGCATAGTTTTCTGAAAATACATATTTTAATCAACTTTTATAATATATTTTTAATCAATTATTAATATTATCTAAAATACATATTTTTATAAAATATAATTATATATAAAAAATGAACCTTTAAAAAATAATAAATAATAAAACATATTCAATATATACGGATTCTTCATTAAAAACAGATTCTGAAAACAATTTTCAGGAAAATTACTCAAATAGTGTAAAACATTTTACAATGTACCATTCAAACGCTGAAAAATGTTTTATAGAAAATGATTTACATTTCTGTAAAACATTTTCCAGATTTTATTTTCAGGAAAACATTTTCAGTGAAACTAACGGACCCTTAGTTAATCTTATTTTTTATGCTCTAGGCCTACTTATGCTTGTTAATAAGTTAAAGCAATAGATAATTATGGGATCATCTTGCCTGTTTTTCCTTCCTAGTTTGCTTTTCCAGGAAACTATTTGCTTTTACTATTTTTTTATCCAGCTTGCTCTGCTGATAAACTCAGTTACAGGATATTAGATTTTTTCAGTCAGACCATACTTTTTTTGTTCAATTTGATTCTTATCATGCAAACACAGATAGAACTTATATTGTTGCGTATGTGGAAGAGTGTCTTGTTTTGTTGCTGTTCCTTTTCACTTTGGTGGTTAAGGACATGAAATCCTTCGCAAATTGGAATGCTATGATTATATTCGTTTCCGATTTAGTTCTCAGCTGTGTTATGCCCTAACATATCCTTAATTCTTTTTTATCTTGGTGCAGGAAATGTCGTATAATAACTATTTGGATGCCGATGCCGCTTGGAATTGCGTCTCTGAGTTTAGGGACCCTACATGTGTGATTGTAAAGCACACAAATCCATGTGGAGTAGCTTCTCGTGATGACATCCTTGAGGCTTACAGGCTTGCTGTGAAAGCTGATCCAGTGAGCGCGTTTGGAGGAATTGTAGCCTTCAACATAGAAGTAGATGAGGCAAGTTGATGAGTTTTTTGGAATCCTTATAATGCAATTGTGCGTTCTTTGTATCACACGTCGACTATCATCTTATCAGTATGCTACCTTCAAAATCAAGACAGGGTACCCTTTTTGACACTGTTTTGGATTTAGGCTCTTGCTAAGGGAATCAGAGAGTTCCGGAGCCCAACGGATGGCGAAACTCGGATGTTTTATGAGATTGTTGTGGCTCCCAAGTATACAGAGAAGGGACTTGATATCCTCCGTGGAAAGTCAAAAACTTTGAGAATCCTTGAAGCAAAAAAGAACGAGAAAGGGAAGCTCTCACTACAACAGGTCGGTGGTGGTTGGTTGGCCCAGGATTCAGATGACTTGACCCCTGAAGATATCCAGTTCAACGTGGTATCCGAGAAGAAGCCACAAGATAGTGAGCTTCGTGACGCGGAATTTGCATGGCTGTGTGCTAAGCATTTCAGGAGCAATGCTATTGTAATAGCAAAGGTTTGTTATTTCCCCCTTTCCTCTTGAAAAAGCTGGGATAAGATTTACTGAGCCCTGGACATTATTATTTCGCAGGACAACTGTATGTTGGGTATGGGAAGCGGGCAGCCAAACCGTCATGAGAGTTTGAGAATAGCTTTGAGGAAAGCAGGAGATGAGGTCAAGGGAGCTGCTTTGGCTAGCGATGCATTCTTCCCGGTTGGTAACTACGACCTTAAAAAGTTTTTGCGCCTTTGCGTTGTTAAGATCTTATTGAATGCATGCAATTGATTGGCTAACGAATATGTTTCGTATCAATAGCTTGGAAAGATGCAGTGGAAGAAGCTTGTGAAAGTGGGATCGGAGTCATTGCGGAGCCTGGTGGGAGCATTACAGACGGGGATGCCGTTGACTGTTGTAACAGGTACGGTGTTTCGTTGGTTTTCACAAATGTGAGGCACTTTAAGCATTGATGCTTTTGCACTTGCATTCCTCCATGGATTCAACTTGAGGATGCAGCAATGTTGTGCAATTTATTTGGCTGTAAGCTTAACAACTGATAAACGTTGGGTTTGTACTGCTATTTTTACTTCACCAAAATAATAGAATAAGATATCTCAAGTTATATATTGGTCGGAGCTACGACACTTTGACCTTGATGGATCACCGGCAAACATGGCCGTGCAACGTAGGTTTACTCAACAATTTAACATATTTTTTAATGCTTATATCTTTTAATATTATATTGCAAATTTAATTTTTCATATGATACATAAAAATAAATAACTCAAATATGTTATAAATTAAAAAAACCCGATTAAGTTTGAACTTTAAATGTTAAAGTTGGAATCTTTATGTTATACAAATATAATATTTTTTTTATCTAAATTCTGTTAAATTTCAGATAAATTCACATATATAAGCTAGCTAATTGTTAATAATCATTGAGACTATTAAAAAAAGAAAGGATTTTTTTAGATAAAATTAAATATTTGAATCGTGGTATTTATAGATAAAATAAATTAGATTAAGAAAATAATTTTTATGTTAGATCTTTACAATATTGGATTTAAATTAATTTATTAATAATTAAGAGTTTGCAATTTCATGATAAATGGGAATGAATAAACGGAAAGGTAAGAAGAAAGCAGGAATAGTGAAGGGAAAGGTTGTAGTGGAGAAGGTGAGAGAAAAATCAACAGTGACAAGAAGCTTTTCAAATTATCCACTTAAACTCATTGTCCCCAGAAAGGTTCTCTACCTTTCTCACATAACAAAAGATCAGATGTCTTTGTTTATTCCTATCGACTGAAGCTGATGATTGATTGATTCCTCAGGTGGGTCCTTCCGAAACCGATGCTGTCTGGGTTTACACCCTCACCTATGGCGGTGGAATTGTCTCCGTACAGCTCGATCATCAGTCTTTGTATCATTTTCTTGTTTCTTTTTGTTTTGGGATGAATGTTTATCATTGTTCTATGTTAGGGAGATTCTATTTTAGTTGAATTTACAATCGGAGATGGGTGCACTGCTGTTCTTACTACCCAATCCTCCACAAAGGTTTCATCTTTATCTTCTAATCCATTTGTCTTTGCGATATAAAAACTGGGTTTTGACTGAATTGATTAGTTTCACTTCTGATCTGGTTTAGGTCTACGAGTCATTGGGGTCCAAGTGTTCTGAGCAACTCCTGGAGGTAACTATCCATCCTTAACCCTAAACCCGAGACTGATGAATAATCACCAATTTACACTAAAATCATATTTATGCGATACGTTTTTAGAGAAGGATTCAACATTTTGACTCCGTTTACATGAATGCTTGTAGTGGAAATAGCTAAGTAGGCAAGAATTGGTAGTGGTGCTCTATTCGTAGTCATTCCGGATCCGGTCACATGTTTTTCCACCGCAAGATATTCTCAGAAACAGGTGTTCAGGTTGGTGTCCGACTCAAATTTGGTCATTGTAGATTGGCTTACCAGTGGTCGTCATGAAAGTGGGGAGAAATGGGATTTCAAACTTTATCGGAGCACCAACTACATATTTGCTGAAGGCAATCGATCTGTATTTCTCGACACCGTAATATTCTCATTATTCCCCTTAGTTATAATGCTAATCTGTTAACGATCATAATGCATTTAAGAAATTGTGCCCTGCGGATAATTTATGTTTTTTCTCTGTGATGTCCTCTTAATGTGTTCCCCTTCCATTCTTTGATTTTTTTTTTCAAATCATAGGTATTGCTAGAACAAGGTAGCCCTGTGAATATAGCGGAACGAATGCACGAGTACCAAGACATAGCAATGGTGATAATCTATGGGTAGTTACTTCAGTGTCCTTTATTTTCCTAAGGTGTATTAAATTCATGTATGGTGAAAGGATTTTGTGACAGAAGTAACTTATTTGTAGCCCAAAGCTGAAGTTTGTTCAAGACCAAGTTCAAGAGAATGTGAAGAGGTTGATGTCTCAGCAATTACACATTCCTTTGACTAACACGGGGTGTCGTGCTAAAACAAATTCGGATAGTTGTTCCATCAGGCCAGCTTTTATTGCATCCTGCAGTGCCTTTGGTCCTAAGGTATTTGCTGACACAATAGCAGCTGTGTTGTTGCATTGAACTCATGCATGTATCACTCGAAATGTTGCGCATGAGAAAGTAAAGTTGAGGAAATGCTTTTATTTTTTGCAGGGAATGGGAGTTGTTGTTCGCATAGCTTCTACAACAACTGAGGCAGTTTATAAGTTTCTGCACCATCAGTTGACTGGGATGGAGCCCCTTCTTGGTGTATCACCCTATTCTTGAACAAATATTGTCATTTCATTTGAATTCGATTTTTAATAATTGTTGGCTCTTGCATTCATCTTTCAAAGTTGAGTACCTTAAAGCGCAATTGTCGATTTGTTTAGGTATTGTAATTTGTATCAGAATATTAATATTAGACGAACGTGAAAAATAATGTCATTTTCATGTTGTATGACTTCTCTCATTAATAAACGCAATCACAAATGTTTTGATGTGGCGTAGAACAAAATAGTAAAATATGAATACAACAGCATGCCCGAAATGTCACGGGGTTAGAGTTTCATCTAACGATCCCTTAGACGAAAGATATTGCAAAAATTCTTCATTTCCATCCACTCTTATCCATGCCATCCAATGTACCTTACATTCTAAATCAAATACATAACGAAGTAAAAACTAAAATGCAATTTCACAGGGTGCGTGAAATGTTTTTCCACGGTATATGGACTCCAGGTTTTCTCCCGCGTAAGAACAATGCGGCGACACCTCAACACCTGGGCTCATATAAGATGTCAAAGCATTCCGAGACACCATCAAAGACTTGGAATCCCGAATAAAAAATCAAAAAACAATGCTAAAGCAGCAATCTCAATCATCAAAATCACCAGTTGCATATAATGGAACTGAATGCGTCAAGAAGCCACCGGCAGCAGCTACCCAATGCGAGTGTAGCCGCAGAAGCAGCAGCCTTGCACTGTCTGGAGTGTCATAATTTGAACCATTGGCATTTTTCACTGGTGCAAACTCTTCCTCTCGTAATACCTGCGTATTTGGAAACATAAAAAAATACACAGTATATTAATCCCTTGTTTACATTTCCAATAGACAGGGAAGAAAAGGGAAAAAAATAGAAGCGAGGGGAAGTGATCACCTCAAACAAAGCAGTTGAAGCAGCGTATGGAAATGCATCAAAGACGAACTGCTCTAGTTTCAACCCCATTGTATACCCATGTAAACACGGAATCTTTTTCTCCGCTACATGGTAACTGCAGCCGGACATATATAAATATTAACACCCTTTAAAGGGATAAGTGTGAAGGTATTAACAAGCAATGACACGCATCCTATTTATAGAGGTAGGTGCCAAGAAATATAACTGATGTCAGATACTATACTCTTAAGACAGAAAAACATGGCTCAGTCAAAATCTTCTACAAGTTTGCTTGATCCTTAACCGCATCGCGGCTTGAAAAGTAAGTGTAAAGGAAACAGCAAACACCCATTGATCCTGTTTGTTTTCAGGTCAATGAGAGACATGCAGAGAGGAGGAAGTAGCTCAAGGATTTTGCATTTGAAAAATAGATTACAATTGTCTCAGAAACAGCACTAATTGACAGAACAATGTTCAAGGCATAACAGATCAAAACATGTACCTCGAAAGGAAAGAAAAACATCACTTACATGCTGTCTTTCTCAAGGCCATCTGCCACTTGGCTGAGAAAGTCCAAAATGAACATGTGTAAGCACACCTGGAAAGCATAAAGCCGTAATAGCATAAGATATACAATCACAATATTTATCTTCATTTATTAATGCAAATGTATTCTAGGCATTACAATGTCATACTTTTTAATAACACCATAAATCCAAATTGAAACCCTGTGGTTTACAGGATAATAAACTGCCATCAAAGAACATGGTTGGTTTTGAAATTTGAATATTCTCAAGCATTATCTGTTAGTAGTGCTTTTCAATTTTCTATAAAATCTAAAACAGTAAAAATCATTCAAGTCTATGACAAAAATTGTGCAGCCTATTTACGTGAATTCGCAAGCAGCAGCAAAAAGTTTCCAAAACCTTCAAATTTCTTCTTTTCTTGAAATAGTTTCAACAATGTTGTGCACTCTTGCATGAGCCAACTTCTACTCTCAACTAAGCCTACAAACTTAAAACTGAAACAATCTGGCATGAAAGCACTAAAAAAGCCCAAAGATGTAGCATATTGAATCCAAAAAGCACTGTATTTTGCAAGAAAGAATCAATATTGAATCAAAATTGGTGACAAATAGTATACATTACTCCAGCAAAAACGAAGGCGTCCAGTTTGCTGGTTGATGGCAGAAGCCAGTGACGAATCTAGTTCACTGTATTCAACCACAGTAAGAGGCCCACCTTTACCAAGCCTAACAAAACACCAACCTTTTCCTGGGGATAGGCCTGTAAACCATTTACTAGGAGATATTAAGACATTATAAAAGCCTTGAAAAAATTTTAAGTTTATAATCTATCTATAAAGTATAATATATATATATATATATATATATATATATATATATATATTTATGTGTGTGTGTCTATATATATATATATTTGGAGAAATTTTTAAACCAATAAAGATACCCTTTTTTCATTATTTTACTAAATTGACAATAAAATAACATTTTATTTATTAATTATTTTGATCTCTATTTAAAGTGACTTATGGAATAATAAAAGTTAAGCAGATTATTTAACATATAGTTTAGAGGACACAGAGATCGAACAAATGCTACGAACTGTTGCAATACAGCTTATTAATAGCAGTCTCAAATACTGATAATGTAGTCAAACAATAATTAAGTAATTCATGCAACTGAAATTCTCAGATATACTTGGAAATTGAGAGCACTAACTACCTTTCGTACGACTTTAGCAGCAGTAGCTGCACCTTTATCAATGAAATATCCCAAGAAAGCTGGAGAAAAAAAAAGAACTCTTTTTTTTATATATTATGAACGGGGGTCGTTCTGCGGTGCGGCGCCTAAAAAACGGCTAATATACGGCGTGACCGGTTAAACAAGTGACCGGTTAAAATTTAGACCGGTTATGTTATATTATTTAACCGGAATTATTATAAAGTACAATAACATACTAGGTAGCGCTTATATAATGTAATAGGTAGCGCTTATATTTACCTATTTTATAAGTAAACCAGTATATTTATACCGATAGCATTGCAAATTTACCTATTACATTATATTATATTGAAAGTGTCCATACTTTTTATAAAAAGGATCGATACTTTAACAGTGTTTCATGTTTTCCACCTACAATATTGATTTAATAATTTCATTTGCACAAAAAATTATTTGATTGTTTTGATATTTTATAAAATATTATTTAGAATTTTTAATTTAATAATAATATATACCGTAACGAAAAAAATAAATCATTAGACGCCTATAATTACTAAATTAATATCTTAAAACTCACTCAAAAGATAACCTTAAATTAATGTTTTCCACAGTGAAAAAAGTATGGACACTTTTATAAAAAGGATAGACACTTTACAATATAACCATTACCTATTACATTATATAAACGATACCTATTACATTATATAAGGGCTACCTATTACATCATATGTTTACCTATTATATTGAAAGTGTCCATACTTTTTATAAAAAGGATCGATACTTTTTTTAAAACTTATGTAATTTATGTTTCAATTTTTTTAACAGTGTACTGCGAATTTAAAATGATAATATACTTGTAGTTATTGTACATACCTAAATATGTACTGCGAATTTAATGTTGTACCCACCCTTTAACTACAGAAACATGTTCAAAATGAACCTTCGTTTACATATCCATCAACTCCTGGAGCACTGAACTTGCACAACAAAATTTTTGCCATGGATAATACTGATGTAGACAATGTTAAGCCAACCGAGGAATGCCATGAAGTACATAATGTTGATGAATCTGACAGATTGGTTGGTCAGCTCTTCTGTTCACGTGATCAAGCTTGGCACTTTTACAAGGGATTCGCACGGGAACATGGGTTTAGTGCACGTAAGGGAACAACACGGCTTGACGTGGAAGGGAATGTGAAGACACAAGAATTTTGTTGTTCCAAAGAAGGGTTTCGAGTATCAAAAGTCAATACTTTTGATCGTCAACGTGCTCATACGCCAGTCACAAGAACAGGATGTAAGGCTAGAGTCGTAGTTACAGCAACAAATACAAACGATCAGTGGGTTATAAGTAAGTCTGATCAGAAACATAATCATGCATTGTGCACATCTGCTATGACACCATTTATGCGTTCTAATCGAGCTGTAAGTAAGGCTGATATCGATGAGGCAACAACATTGAAAGAGGTCGGTGTTGGCACGTCACAAGTAATGAACTATTTAACGCAGCAGGCAGGGGGCTATCATAATGTTGGATTTACACATAAAGACCTCTACAATGCACTTCAAATAGGTAAAGCAAAGGAAATCGTCGATGGGGATGTGAATGCGCTTATTGCCTACTTTGATTATAAGAAACATGATGATCCCGGGTTTTTTATGACATACTCGGTAGACGAATCGGGGGCATTGTATAATCTTATTTGGTCGGATTCTACATCGAGATCGGATTACACATGCTTCGGTGATGTAATTGCGTTCGACACAACGTACAAAGATAATTTGTATGGTCGACCAATTATGCCTATTGTTGGTGTCAATCATCACCATAACACAATTGTGTTTGCCACTGCCATAATCGCTGACGAAACGTCTCAATCTTTCGAGTGGGTGCTACAGAATTTTTTAGAAGCCATGATGAATAAATCACCTATTTCTGTTGTAACCGATGGGGATAGGGCAATGCAGAGGGCTATCAAATCTGTTATCCCTTATGCTAAGCACAGATTATGTTCTTGGCATCTTTCTCGCAATGCACAAGCTAACATTGGTGACCCAAAGTTTACAGCAGCATTCTCAAAATGCATGGCTTCCTGGTGGACAACCAAGGAATTTGATATTCAATGGCGTTCGATTGTTTCAGAATTCAACGTCCAAAGCATCCATGGGTGATTGAGAAGGGAAATACACGACACTTATGGGCACAAGCATATCTAACCGGTCATTTCTTTGCCAATATTCGCTCAACACAAAGGTGCGAGTCTATGAATGCTTCACTAGCTATTGCACTGAAACACAAGAAGACATATTTAGATGTTGTTCGTGCAATTGAAGATGGAATTAGTAGAATGCGTATGAACGAGTTGAAAGCGGATTACTTAAGTTCCCATACGAAGCCCTTCCAGATCACAAAACTGGTCGACCTTGAAAGCCATGCCGCTGCGATTTTTACCCGCGAATCTTTTCGTGTGTTCCAAGATGAACTTACACGGGAGACATTGTACCGGATTGAGGCAGAGATTAAGTCCTTATCAGATGAATGTCAACATTATATTTTGTCAAAGTACGCAGAAAAAAATAGGAAATTTGAAATTAGTTTTGATTCTCGTACGAAAACTCTAATTTGCTCCTGCAAAAAATTCGAGACCGTTGGACTTCCGTGTCGCCATCAACTTCACATTTTGAAGCAATTGGACTACACATATTTGCCCGGGACTTTGATTCAAAGTAGGTGGACTAATGATGCGAAGGCTTCTGCACCCAGCTATGTTGATTTGAATGTGTCTCCAGAAGTGATGCAAATGGCAAGGTTCGCTGCTCTACGTTCAACGTCAAGTAGGTTATGCTACATTGCATCAAAGACAGACGAGTCTTTCAAAACCGCAAGAGATGAGATGAAAAAACTAATAGAAGAATTAGAAAACTCGTTTGGTTTGAATCATTCAGTCAACCAGAGCATTGTAGTAAACAATGTTCGTGACCCTCAACGAAAACAACGCAAGCGAAAAGAAGTGCCGAAGAACAAGGTCGAGAAGCAAATTGTACTGGTTAGATTAAAAAATTACATATTACATTATACTTTTGGGTTCGATGATTTTGGGATCGACACTTTTTATATATGGATCGACACTTTATTGATGCACCTTGTAAAAATTCATTCTGGAAAAAAAATATCGACACAAACTATATTAGTGTCGACACATTATTTAGACTTATTCTCTCATAAAACCGGTATAATTGTACCGGTTAGATTAAAAAATTACATATTACATTATACTTTTGGGTTCGATGATTTTGGGATCGACACTTTTTTATATATGGATCGACACTTTATGGGTGCACCTTGTTTTTAATTCATTCTGGGAAAAAAATATCGACACAAACTATATTAGTGTCGACACATTATTTAGACTTATTCTCTCATAAAACCGGTATAATTGTACCGGTTAGATTGAAAAATTACATATTACATTATACTTTTGGGTTCGATGATTTTGGGATCGACACTTTTTATATATGGATCGACACTTTATTGATGCACCTTGTAAAAATTCATTCTGGAAAAAAAATATCGACACAAACTATATTAGTGTCGACACATTATTTAGACTTATTCTCTCATAAAACCGGTATAATTGTACCGGTTAGATTAAAAAATTACATATTACATTATACTTTTGGGTTCGATGATTTTGGGATCGACACTTTTTTATATATGGATCGACACTTTATGGGTGCACCTTGTTTTTAATTCATTCTGGGAAAAAAATATCGACACAAACTATATTAGTGTCGACACATTATTTAGACTTATTCTCTCATAAAACCGGTATAATTGTACCGGTTAGATTAAAAAATTACATATTACATTATACTTTTGGGTTCGATGATTTTGGGATCGACACTTTTTTATATATGGATCGACACTTTATGGGTGCACCTTGTTTTTAATTCATTCTGGGAAAAAAATATCGACACAAACTATATTAGTGTCGACACATTATTTAGACTTATTCTCTCATAAAACCGGTATAATTGTACCGGTTAGATTAAAAAATTACATATTACATTATAATTTTGGGTTCGATGATTTTGGGATCGACACTTTTTTATATATGGATCGACACTTTATTGATGCACCTTGTAAAAATTCATTCTGGAAAAAAAATATCGACACAAACTATATTAGTGTCGACATGACCCTTAATGTGTATAAGAAACATGTACAACAACATACTGCTAACTTTTCTCATCTCATTCATAATTATATTCACATAAAAAAATATAAATCGTATACAAAATTATAAATCGTATACAAAATTATAAATCTTATACAAAATTAACTCGACATTTACATCATTGCATCCTTTTGTTATTCTTATGTAATATTGCGGCTTTTGTTATCTCCTGTCTTCGTTCATTTTGATTGTGGCTTACGAGATCATTTAATACTCGCGATCGATCCCAGTCTCCAACAACCTATATTCAAATTGTCAGAACGTTAAGTATTGTCAACTACAGCATTCAATCTACGACTTTTAA